ATGACCACAAAGTCATGCAGATGGAAATGACACACTAGGACACAAAAAAATATTCATATAATAGACTAACTCAGCAAGGAGTATAACATATTGAAATAATCGTGAATTGGTAAGCACTGTTAGAGATCTGGATAGAAACACTAGATTTTAAAAAACACCGAAAGGCTTTGCTTCATATCTTTCACTACATAAATGAAGATACCTGGGGAGGTACCATGACCTGTTCAGTCTCTTGACTAGTTAGTGGTAGACCCCTGATAACAGAGCTTCTAGTCTAGCACTACCTTTACAATGCCAGGCAAATCCTAGGAAAAGCCCCATGGACTGTTCACCTTCCCATTTGTGGCCATGGGCCAATTGTTGGTTAATGTTTCCCTGTATTACTAATAGCTCCCCAGGCCATAACAGCCACACCCAACAGCAGTGACTCAGGAGAGACAGTACTGAACACCTCAGGAACTACTCTGCCCTAATTCTCACTAGATTCATGCTTATGTGTCTTCTTGAGTCCCTGTTTCACAAGAGTAAGATTCATACCTCACAGAAGATAGGTAGCCTAGAATAAGGAACCAGATGAAAAGAGCATTCTGATTAAGTATTCCCATATTGAAGACTATCAGAAGAAATCATAATTTTTGGGATATCCGCAGAGAGACTAGAAGAAAAATTACTTTAATGAAAGATTACTCTTTAAAGTAATTAGAGAGGATACTTTCATAAGAAGTGTTCACAGTAATTAGGAATACATGCATGTATCATCTTGGGAACACCTCTTGAGAGACAAGTAATTACCTGGGAAAAGTCTTGCTAGATGCTATCAGATGATATAAAGTTGACCTGAATATAATTATGGCAACCACATAGAGAAAAATAGGAAGGAGTTAGAAAAAAGAGCCAGTCAATAAGAATATGGAGCATTTAGGGCACAAGTAAGAAGTTATTCCTCAATAGGATTCTGAGCTATTTTCTGGTATGGAAAACAGACTTAGCATCTCCATCTCCAGTGGATGCATGTTGTCTCAACAGGATTCTGAGCTATTTTCTGGTATGGAAAGAAGTTATTCCTAATTGGATTTTCCCAAAGGAAAATTCTCTAATGACAAAGTAAGGAGACATATAAAGAAAAAACATACAAAAGGAAAAAGCAAGAAAATAAAACAAAAAACCTCTATACAACTTTTTTTCAAGATTTTTTTTTTTTTTAATTTGACACAGAGAGAAAGAGCAGCAGAGGGAGAGAGAAGCAGACTCCCCACTGAGTAAGGAGCCCAATGTGGGACTCGATCCCAGGACTCAGGGACCATGACCTGAGCTGAAGGCAGACCCTTAACTGACTAAACCACCCAGGTGCCCACCTTTATAAAATTTCTGAGTGACAACTGGCAAAAATAAAATGAGTAAGTTAAAAGAAAAATCTATGGATCTTTGAAATACTATAAAGATTATATTTTGCTTGTAAAATAGAATGATTCAGAGACTGTCTCACTTGAGATAGAAACAAGAGCACATAAATCAGTGAAATTTAAAAACAAAGTATTTCCAATAAAGATAGATATGATATAGTTTCATTTTTATTTCCTTTTTCAAGGGACTAGAAAGTTAATTTGGTAGTCAGACTTGCAATGCTTGGACCTCTTAGAGAAGTGCTTTTTGGATTCTTTTCATTATTTTAAGATTTTTCCATGATTTATTTATTTAAAAAAAATTTTTTTTTTGTAAGTACTTTCTGTCAATTGCAAACAGGACAGTGAAAATGCACTTAAATTATTCTCTGAGATCACTTTCCTTGGGTTCTGCTTTGCCGGTTCCTTGACCTACTTGTTTGGCTTCATATCTCAGTAGTTTCATAATGTTGATTAAAGAATCTCCCTAAGAAATCTAAAGCCAAGAAAATTTGTTCTATTCATTAAAATATATATTACTCAAACACTTTATGGAAAAAATACCATCTTCTTCATAATGCCATGACAATTCACTGAGAGTTATCCAATAAAGAGAATTCGCCTTCTGAAAATAATTTGAAAACAGAAAGTTGACCCTGATAATAAGCTTCCTTTGATTCCAAAGATTATAAGAACCTGACTTATCTGCTAAGTAAATAACAGTCATGAAAACCACACTTAATCTACAAAGCAATGTGTTCTGATGAAATTTTACTTCAAAATAATATTTGCTCTTCTTATTTTAAATTTTTTTTCACAAGACTTTGTCCAGTTATGGGCTAAATAGTGTAACATTTTGTAAAAATTAGTTCAATAACTTTTTCTTTTCTGGAGTACTGGATCCTTCAAAAATCATTAAATAGACATAGTGACACACAAAGATATTTCCAAAAGACTGGAGAAATACATGTTACATACATATATAGACCACTTGACCTCAATATTTAATGCATCTTGGCAGAAATCAAAATGTTCCCCAACACTTTTGGAAAACAAAACAAAACACTATGTTATCTAGTATGATTTATATTCAAATGCACAAGGTTCAAATAATTCTTTCTTGGAATATATACACATAAAATCCAATAAAGGTAAATTCTCCTTCTAATTTCATGCTGCTTCGATTTTGTGGAAGAGAAGCAGAACATTAGATCACTGTTTTACAGTATGGACTTCACGTTTCTCATCTTGCCAATGCAAGTGGGAGCTCCCAGCAGACAATGACCAGGCAGAGAATATTACTTTTAGAGGCTCACTAAGTAAATAGCCACCACATTAGAAAGAAAGAAAAAAACACATCAAACGGTCATGACGGATGTTCAGTTTCCAGTGAGTGCTAGCCCACGAACTTAGGATATCTCCTGAATTTCATTTTCTACCACAGAAATACAATGCTCCAAAGAAAACTAGCTGTGATGTAGGCTCATGAATTCATAACTAAGTTTACCATAATAATAATCTTAGTCTTCAGTGATGTTTCAAATTTTCAGTTTTTATTATAGTCCAAAAACATACTGTCTCTTGAAACAGAAATGAGCAAATGTTACAGTACTTGATATCTGTTATTCTACCTTTACAAGAATTCATGTATATTCTTGGCTTTTGTTCTATTGTTTTACAAAATACAATTATATAATGTGTCCACAGAGCATAGGATGGTAGTGTTAAAAATACTCGGGGTGCCTCGGTGGTTCAAATGGTTAAGTGTCTGCCTTCGGCTCAAGTCATGATCCCAGAGTCCGGGATTGAGTCCCACATTGGGCTCCCTGCTGTTTCTCTCTCCCTCTGCTGCTCCCCCTGCTTGTGCTCTCTCTCACTCTCTCTGTTAAGTAAATAAATAAAATTAAATAAATAAATAAATAAAATTTTAAAAAAAAGATAAAAATACTCATGGTTCAATTCAGAAAATTGAACTAACAGTTTAATTCATTCAGTAAGTTTGGACACCTACCATGTGCCTGCTTTTATAGGTAATTTTTAACAAATAGACTAGATTAGTACTTTCTTTCATGTAATACTGCTAAGTTTATGGCTAAAAGCCAGGTTATTTGAATTCAAAAGGCATGGGGGGGAAAAAGTCACCTTATTTTTGCAAAGTCCACAGTTGACATTAGCCCCAGAACACTGCGTTTCCCTAACATGATTAGGAGGCTTTTAGTTGCCTATCTTGCAAACGATAAGGTCACTGAGAATTTCAAGAGTCTTATACTTCTGTACTTCATAAAAGCAAGCTTTTGGAGCATTTCCGGGTCTTAGTGACATGAAACAAAGCAATGTCATGTATGTGTGGATCCTCAGGTCCCTTTTAGATCTACATTTCTATATTGCATGGCATCTGTAAGAAACTGATACCTTAGGGATGCCTGGGTGGCTCAGTTGTTGAGTGTTTGCTCAGGCCATGATCCCAGGGTCCTGGGACTAAGCCCTGCTTTGGTCTCCGCTCCCTGCTCAGCAGGAAGCCTGCTTCCCCTCCCCACCCCACCCCAACTCCCCCTGCTTGTGTTCCCTCTCTCGCTATCTCTGTCAAATAAAATCTTTAAAAAAAGAAAAAAAAAGAGAAAGAAACAGAAACTTTATAGTGAAAAATCATAACTCCTTAACCTTTCATTTTAAAACTCTAGGTTGGGTTCAATAAACAGCTTAGGTAATTTTGTTGTCATCTCAAAATTGTCTATCATGGTACTGATTACCTAGCAAACACTCAATAACTTTTACTTGATTGATTTAAAGAAAATTTCTACAGTTTTATTCAAGCCCTAAAAAAGAATTTCTGAGATTTATAAGGCAATATAAATATTTAATAAAGAACACAGAGGCCTAAAATGCTAAGTACTTCAGGACCTTACCTCAGAATTTTACATTGTCATGCCTGATTTTATACTGTTTCCACACAACTGAGGAAATTAATAAATAAATCTATGGTTTATTTAATAGTGCAAACTATGTCCAGAGCAAGAATCAGGGTTCAGTCCTTTTGAGGACAAAAAAAATTTCACCAGATTTCCCAATAACATATTTCCTTTCAGAGATTAAGGAAAACGTGAGTGCTTTTAACTCAATGAATATATCACATCAGCTTGTTGCCGGTTCATATACCCTCACCTTCACAGGCAGAAGAAGGTACATTAAAAGACAGAAATCTCCTGTAGCAGGGACCTAACCACTCTGTTAAATATACACAAGATATGGGAAGTACAACCCTCCTATGTACTCATATGTGTATTTTCTGAGAATAATAGGCATGGTCCACACATACAGAGATTCTTTTAACATACCTGCTATATTACTCTGGTGCATTTTCCACATATTTTTCGTTTAGAGTGGAATGAATAAGTTACAGGGATGAAAAGTACAACATAGGGAATATAGTCAATGGTATCATAATAGTGTTGTATGGTGGTAGAGTTAGTACACTTGTGGTGAGCACCAGATAAGGCAGACTTGTTGAATCACTACGTTATACACGTTGAAACTAGTGTCACATTGTGTGTCAACTCTACTTCGATGAAAAAAAAATTCACTTAAAAGAAAAATTTCATTTAGAAATGAAAATATTACCTTTCTTGCTTCTTTGATCATCTTCCGAATAGTTTCCTTAATTGTAAGTAATTGTGCTCTCGGTGGATGAAAGAGGAGGTCTATATGGGTGCCCCCCAAGAGTCCTGGCATCACATACGGCCAGCCCAAGTCAAGATTTGGAGCTTCCACATCGGACTCAATGGGCCAGTAAGTCCCTGAAGATGAGGTATCGTCGTAGGAGTTATCAGTACCGTGAGCCGTAGTTTGTGCAACTTTCTGGACATTTTTCAGAATATAATTAACTTCTTCCTCGGCTAGAAAGTCTGATACTCGTTCCTTGGCAAGAAATTCTTGGTATGCTTCTAACCCATGTTCAATGAGTGCATCAATGGCTACTCGATACCATTCCTTGTAGTGAGGCTCAATGTAATTGTCTGATTTACACTCATCATTCAATGAGGACAGCATCGATGAGGTTTCCATGATTCCAAGCATCTGACAACAGCACTTTCAAATGTCCATTGGTGCAGTGATGAGAGGTATCTGCGTATCTGAAAGGAAGGACATGAAGATCAGTTAGGATTCTGTAATGATATTTTTTTGTGATCCACATCAACCAACAGTTTTGCATTTATTCATTTCCTCGACTGACAGTAACTCAATATGACATACACTTCACATCCAAAGTGTCATTAATTGCACCATAATTCACATACATGTTACAAATAAGCTAAACAGATTTCCTTTTACAAGCCACTAGTTGGTTTTCCTTTTCCAAGGTACCTCTATTTACTGTTTCTCACTTAAGAAAAAACACCTTCCTTTCTCTGACATCCAGAAAGGTCACCTTTCTTCATTTTAATCTGGGACTATACATGGTCCTATCAGTTTCTATACATTTTCTGCATTTGGGTTTTACAATATTTTAAAATAGAATGCAATCAGTACCTGGACATCCATGAATGTAAATTTTTACTAGGTACCTGTTACGCATATACTCACATACTAATGGAATATAGAAACCAGAAATACTTGCCTTCCAGAAATGTATTAATTAGCTGAATAGCCGAAACATACACACAAAACTGTTACCACTTTGAACAAAGCCATATATTGATAAGGGCCAAAATGAGTACTGCCTATAGTCAATGCTTTCAGATTAAAGCAAGTAGAAATCAATACAGAATAAACTATTTACGTATATCCCTGTGCAGGACATAGGCTTCAGCTGAACCTAGGGTGATAAGTAAGAATGCGATCAGGCAGCAAGGAATGTTTTAACCCCACACAAGAGTGAAAAACAGCAAAAGCACGGAACAGGTATGAGCTTGATATATTCATGAATTAGTTAAAAACAAAAACAAAACTGCTGGAAAGCAGGCTCCTTTCACTAGGAACAAACGGGACAAATTTGAACAGACACAGTGGAGCCAGGTGTGGAGGGACACAGGAGACTTTTGTGATTCAACAAAACCAGTCTTTAAAACAATTAGTCTGGCAGTATCAGGGGAGTGGAGGGGAGACAAGTAGCTAAATCTTTCAGTGTTCAAACACCCAGTCAAGTAGTGACAAGAATATTCAAGAGCTGATTCAAAGTAAGAACTCCTGAGATTTGATGGTTTGACGGCATTTAGGTGATAAAGAAATTTATCATAGCCAGGATAATTCAGGGATTTCTCTTAGGAATTCAAATCTGCCTAACCAAGCTCATACCCCAACCCTCACAATGCCCACAAACTGTCATTCATTCTCTCCTTCACTGTGTAAGATGCCACACCAGACTTTATCTCTATCAAATAAGGGACTTTCCAATCTTTTGAAGTCATGTTCTCCGTTGTATAGATTCAAACAAAATTCAGCTCCATGATGTGCTACAAGCACTAAAAGACTAATTTGACCAAAAATATCTTTGTCAAGGGCTCTGCCCTAATTTAAAATTTTCCACTTAACCCAGCTTTTTCAGACTCAGGACTATGGAAACTCAAACCTGATTTGAGAGGGTAACCCACAAAGCCATTATCCAGTATTAACTCCTCAGCTCAAAAGATGTTACCAGTCACTAATCATACAGAGACGTTGTCAGGAAATGGGAAACAGGGCCACAAGTTTTGCTGAAAGGGTGGGGAGAGCAGAAAAGGTTCAGCACACATACTAAGGCAGAGCTAACAAACAAGGAAGATAAAAGGATCCACTTAGCTCTTTTAGTGGAGACAATCCTGTCCCCATCCCTAGGCTCAAAATTTTTACCAACAAAGTCCAAAAGTATAGAGAGCCTAAGGATTAAATTGATACAAGAAAACAAAACAACACATGTTTATGCTATTGGCATGTACTGGGTAGAAGCCAGGGATGTTGTTAAACCTACTTCCATACACAGGACAGCCACCTGCATTAAGAAATTATCTGACCTAAAATGTCTATGGTACCATGGTTGAGAAATCTTCATCAAGTTGTTCACTTAATATGCATGGTATCATACTACTAATTAATGACATTTTCGATGTACATTAAAGTTATTTTTTGTACCTACACTGGACTCATTTTTAACAAAGAAATACGGTTTTTATTTACTTGACCGAATCAATCCATTGGATTATAGTATAGTTCCCTAAGGTTTACTGAGGTGGAGTGTTCATTTGATAATTCCAGTTCATGTAGGGACAGCATCCAGTGATCCCATGAAAATCACATCTATTATTTGTAATTGCTTAAGACAGTAGTTAATTACTGGTTGTTTACAAAAATCTTTAATTTTCTTAGCAGTTATTTCCTAAATTTTAAAATGTAACTTTGAACTCCTGTAACATGTGAAGCTAAACACCTATTATCTATGTAGAAGCTAAAATGCATGAAGTGCTTTAAAAAACTGTATTGATTCCCAAGCTTTATCTAGGTAAATATGTACACTGCAACTATAAAAAAAAAAAAAAAATCACTCGAGCTATGCGTAAACGGCAAAACCAGAGACATCAAAAAGGACCATGAACGTAAAATAAAGCCATGAAGACAAAGACACACAGTTAATTATGAAGGGGAAAAAAAAAAACAAATGAAGATGGAAAAAAATAAAACACTACAGTTCTCATCAAATGGCAATGACAGATACAAGCAGAAAATCACGTCATGGAAAAAAATGCAACAGCTGTGAGCATGGAATTTGAGATATTATGTAAAAGAGCTAAGCCAAAAAATAAACAAGCTTGAAGCTGTCCTGCTAGAGAAGCTACACCCTCTAACCACTGTCTAAAGATACGCATTTATCACAAGAGCTGTTTACAAGGGATAAATGTGAAAGAACCATTTATAAACAAATTTTAAGGGAGACCAGTAAGGTAATGGCACTTGCATAAGTGGGTATTACAATAAAACAGCACCTGTATTTAGTTACAGACTTAATATAGCACTCAGGAGTTCAATCCCTGAACATTGGAAGGGCTTAATTTGAGGACAAAATTAATTGGGTATGCCTTTAAACATGTAAAGGTGTATTATTTTATTAATAACAATTAAAAACTCCTAAAAAGTATATAAGCATACATAACAGAGTTAATGAGTAGAGAAAAATAAAATTTCACTATGATATAAAAGCTAAACCGACCACTTGTCTCATCTGCCTGTAAAGTGACTCATTCCAAGAAAATAGGCTTATAAAATATGGGATTCAAATCCATGCCTCAAAAGCATTACAAATTTATTTGATATTGAATCTTTGGTGTCATTTGTGGGAAGTATAAATTCCAAAGGTATTAAACATTAGATTTCAACTCATGGGCTACTCTGGAAAACATTTTGGCAGTTTCATTATAAAATAAAATATACAAATGACACGCTTGTTTATGGTTTCTGATCTGAGAAGCTTCATTGAAAAGACTCCTGAAAGAACAGGTCAACAGAAAAAAATGTTCCAAAGAGAAATTACAACTTCCTTAAATGTACAAGTAGATGACCCAAGGTCAAGATTCTGAAAGAAACACAAAAAGGATCACAGCTGCTGGTATCTCTGAGGTACCTTTTCCAGCCTCTGTCTTAGGCTGTTTCTATTCTACTCCTAAATGCTCTTATGGGTTAAATAATGTCTTCTAACAAGGTATGTTCAAGTACAAGCCCTCAGTACCTGTGAATGTGATCTCATTTGGAAACAGGGTCTTCTTTGCAGATGTAATCCAGTTAGGATGAGGTCATATTTAATCCGTGGTCCACAATAGTTGAAAATTATGTATCTCTTTTTCCCTTGAAATTTTAGCTACCAAGATTGTGTTTGACTTTGAATTTGATTGCCAAAAATTTAAGATGGCAATTAAAACATTAAAGATGTTATTACATTACAAATTTTACTATAATTGTCAAGCTGCCAAGTGCAATTTGATATCAAATTTTGGCATCCAAACTTTTAAAAAAAATTCTCAGCAGGCTTTATAATAATACTTACAACAAGACAGCCCAACAGTACCAATTACAGTCTTCCACAGGGTCTGATTTTCTACAGGCCCAGGAATACATGAACACACGGCACACACAGTCACAGGGTTCTGAAAGCAAATATCTCCATTTGCAGATCACAGATGGAATCACCCATCTCATCCAAGTCATGAAAAGGAAACTAAATGCCTCCAAGTCACTTTATAAATCCCAAATAAAAATTCCACTTGCTCCATATCTAAACATTTTTTAATCCTTTAATTTCTTTTAATCGGGCAATGGTATGACATTACTGATTTCATATTATCAAAGTACTTAATTCCAGGGTTTATTTGTATTACCTGTTACTCAATATATTTTCCATCCTCAGTGTAAATGATAGTCTAGACATAAGAATAACAAGGCCCCCAATATATATTAACAATATTAAAACATACCCATTCACTGTCATTTGGAATCATGGAGTAATTCTACAGAGAAATTCATAAGGAAAAAAAAAATAAAAATAAACCCTTTTCTTGGAGAGCATATACTGGATAGTCAAACTTTAGAGGACTACTCTATGCATGGCTTAAAATGCAAGTGGAATTAAAACAAATTACTGTTTTACCAACACCTAAATTACTCCTGAATTGCATTCTATCATGACACAAGCATTCCAGAAAATCCAATGGATGAGATAAGGTCATCCTAATGGGGTTGAATCTTGTGCTGTAAACTGTTTCATCTTGTCCTGATCCTGATCAATATATGTTACAATCATCCGGATGAATCAATAGAAACACATTGATACAGTTGGCAGAAATAAACAGTATATGCATCAGGTGCCAGAATTAATACACAACATGATCTTAAACTGGTGAAACACTATATCAACATGAATGAGATTAAATCCAATACAATAAATGTAAAAGTTTTAATTTACAGTAAAAACTAAACATACAGGGATACCTGGGTGGCTCAGTTGGTTAAGAGTTTGCCTTCAGCTTAGGTCATTATCGCAGGGTCCTACGGTCCTGGGGTCCTGGGATCAAGCCCCACATCGGGCTCTCTGCTTAGCGGGGAGCCTTCTTCTC